TATATATAATATATTTTGTATTTCTTTTTAATTACATATATTTTATTTTATATATATATTAAATTATATATATGTTTTGTATTTTTTTTTAATTACATATATTTTATTTTATATATATATATATATATATTAAATTATATATATGTTTTTTATTTTTTTTTAATTACATATATTTTATTTTATATATATATTAAGTTATATATATGTTTTTTATTTTTTTTAATTACATATATTTTATTTTATATATATATTAAATTATATATATGTTTTTTATTTTTTTTAATTATATATATTTTTATTATATATTTTTTTATTTTTTTTAATTATATATTTTTTATTATATATATATTAAATTATATATAATAAAAATAAATTACATTATAAATTAAAAATTCGTCCCTTAATTGTTGATAGTCCCGTCGTTCAGTTAAGAAGCATAGTTGCAACTTCCATCGAACACGCTCCGGTTTGCACCCGGAAGCCTCAAACTACAATCGCCGATACACGATATATATTCATTCCGTATCGCGCGTGGCGAACGATTGTTCGCCAGTTTGCCCGGCGAACAAACCGGGGAGGGGAAAGGTTACGTCGGTACAAATTCCGAGAGATTTATCTGGCCGATTCGAACCGGCGGCGAGGAGAAAAACGAGTCGAAAGGTACACACGACGGTGTACAAAGGTAGAATGCGCGACAGATAGAGACGGTCGGCTGAAAGTCGCAGACAAACGTCGCGGATTGTGAAAGTTTCCTTCTGTCTCTTGGCCGGTCGACATACAAGAGAAATTGGAGTTTTTCTTTTCCATTTCTTTTTTCTTTTCATCGTCGTTCGATTATATCCACGTGAAATTCGAGAATGTCGGGGCCCGACAGCAATCGTTGCACCGTTGTAAAATGCAAATGTTATGTATCGCTCCGCGATTATCTGACGATGGCCGCTTCGGCCGCGTTTTCAAAAGTTCGCACGTACCGCCGATAAATTATACACACGAGCGTGCGCGCACACTCTACTGACCTTGTTGCGTATTGGATATCGCCTCTTTATACCGTCGAGATAGTCGGTCGAAATTATCGTGGAAATGGAAAATTTCGCATCGCGGTTTCAAGCACCGCGGTCTTGAACAAAAGCATAAATTCTAAAGTCGGTTTCTGATGCGTCTAATCCATCCCCCTCCTTTCCACCCCAATCGCGAAAAAGAAGAAAACCTCCCTAGAACGCGTGTGCTCCATTTTCGACACGCGCTTCCTTTTCTTTACCGATATCGAATGTATTTTTTTAAATGTCGCAGATGAATGGATCAAAATCTTTAATTTTAACCCATTTGCAACGGGGGTACCCATAAGTAATTTCATTTTTTTTTTTTTTCAAATTTAGTCAGAATAATTTAACTAAAATAAAATTTAATAAACATTGCCATCTAGTCACAATAATTTAAATAAAATAAAATTTAATAAACATTGCCATCTACTAAGAATAATTCAAATAAAATAAAATTTAATAAACATTGTCATCTAGTCACAATAATTTAAATAAAATTTAATAAACATTGCCATCTAGTCAGAACAATTTAAATAAAATAAGATTTAATAAACATTATCATCTAGTTAGAATAATTTAAATAAAATAAAATTAATAAACATTGCCATCTAGTCAGAATAATTTAAATGAAATAAAATTTAATAAACGTTGCCATCTAGTCAGAATAATTTAAATAAAATAAGATTTAATAAGCATTATCATCTAGTCAGAATAATTTAAATAAAATAAAATTTAATAAACATTGCCATCTAGTCAGAATAATTTAAATAAAATAAGATTTAATAAGCATTATCATCTAGTCAGAATAATTTAAATAAAATAAAATTTAATAAACATTGCCATCTAGTCAGAATAATTTAAATAAAATAAGATTTAATAAGCATTATCATCTAGTCAGAATAATTTAAATAAAATAAAATTAATAAACATTGCCATCTAGTCAGAATAATTTAAATGACATAAAATTTAATAAACATTGCCATCTAGTCAGAATAATTTAAATAAAATAAAATTTAGTAAAACGACTGCTTATGGATGTTCCTAACATATATGTATGTATTGGAATAATGACAGAGAATGTACTATTATCACCAGAACATTTATATTTCTGGTCTGACCGTTGTTTTCACGACTATTCAGAAATACAGAGCATTTCACGTCTTTGAACAAAAAATTATTAAAGATAACACAAAAGAACTGAAAATACCAATGAAAACACGAATGAGTTACAAAATGCCCATTACTTCCATTAATCAAGGTTTACTGGATGGAACATTTGCCAATAATAGAAACAATTTCACCGAGAAAAGCTCCAAAAGCGTTGTGTCGTTCGTTTGTGTCAAAAAGGATAGAAGAGAAACAATTTGTCAGTGTGATAACTTCAAATAGCTTTATGCATTCATCACTTACACGAAATACTATCACACTGAGCAAAACAATTAGTGTACATTCTCTGTCGTTATTCCAATAATATATTTGACATTTCTTCCTTCTTGCACGATTTTTACTGTCCTTGTTCCTGTTCTTTTTATTACAGAGCTTTGAACTTTTTATTTTTGACGCTGTACAAAATTTTATTTAATTTAAATACGTTTATTAAATTTTTCGCGTGTTCGTGTTTTTGAATATCTGCGTTTTATATTATCCTCAAATCTCTCGCTAAAACGTAAAAAAAAAAAATCCCGCAATTTGGCAATTACTTGCGGATCAGCCCAGTCCCGTGCACACTGACGGGCTTCGCCGAATCGTTGCCCGATCAAACGAAAAGTTCTCTCAAACGATTAAACCGGTTTTCGATATCACTGAATGATATCGTTTTATGAAATGTCAGACGTTGCGGGAGGAGATTGGACCGTGGACAGATAGAGTTGCATTTCTGCGAAATCTATAAAGATAGTATCTGAACAAAGCAAAAA